AGGACTCTGGGATGCATCTCATCAGGTCCCATGGACTTCTGTACGTTTAGGTTCCTCAGGAGGTCCCGAACCTGGTCTTCACTTACAGCTGGAGAGATTTTACCCTCCTGGTCTCCTTCATGCCATTCATCGACTCGGGAGGGGTGAGGAGAGAGGTTGCCAGTGAAGACTGAGGCAAAGTTGTTGAGTACCTCAGCTTTCTCCTCATCTGCTGTTGCCAGTTCGCCGGTCTCGCTCATGAGCGGGGGTACGCTTTCTTTGACCATCTTTTTCCGGCTGACATACCTGTAGAAGCCCTTCTTGTTATTTTTCACATCCCTTGCCAAGTTCAGCTCCAGCTGTGCCTTGGCCTTCCTGACCCCATCCCTACACAACCGGGCAGCTTCCCTATACTCTTCCCAGGAAGCCAGTCCCCGCTTGTTCATGTCCCTGATATTTCTGTGCAGCTCTTCTGTATGGGTTTCTTGTTAATGTAAATGTGTGTTGTGCCTACGTAGTGCCTGAGGGCATGATAAACTGGTGCAGGGCACAGGGAAAAGCACAAAAGTCTTTTCTACCTGCTCTTACCTTCAGGGCAAGAAGTTTCACCTTTTTTTTTTTAATGATACAATAATTCAGGAAAAAAATGAATATTGGAATGCTATCATTAGTACATTTATAGGGGTTCTTCTGCTGTCATCTCCTACAGTTGCACACTACAAAATAGGAAAACGCGTAAAGGCAGCTAAGAGAAAGGCTATCACCAATTGTTAGGACAATGACAGCTAAGGTTAAAAATGATCCTTCTCCAATTTGACTCTTATTTCACAAAATTTATAGGACATAGCAGAAATGCTGCAGCAGCCGTAACAGTGTAACAGAGAAGTTTTAAAGAAGACTTCTTTCCATTACAAAAGCACATATCAGTAAACCACAGTTTGTGAGCTGAAAGCTTTTAATTTTTTTTGCTTTTCATAGAACAAACCAGAGATTTGCATACAGGTAAGCATAGTAGAAGTGAAACTTACTAGCTTCAGTTCTTAGAGAAATATTGGAACAATTGAATAAACTATTTGTAAATTCCTGTAAGAAAACATGGAGATGAATAGAAGCCAACATAGATTTATGAAGACAGAAAACCATATCAAGAGGGTCCAATTTAATATGAAAGTAGTAGATAGATTTTAGGTAAATGTATAACATATATATCTTGACTTCAATAATGTTTCACATTATGGTGTTATTAACAAAGTTAATAATCTTACCTAGCTGAAAATACAATAAAAAAGCTAAAGGCATAAAGCTGGCTAGACAATTTACCTGGTGTGTAATTATCAGTGGTTCACAGCCCCAAAGAAAGGATGCCTCAAGCAGGATTTTGCAGGATTCTTCCTTGGATCTGGTACTATTTAATATTTTCATTGATGAGTTGAATGGTGGTTTAGATATCACGCCTTTTGGGATGGTTAAACAACAGCAGATGTACAGGGACTACCTGGAAGTAGTCCACGAGGCTGCTATTGAACAGGGATGAGCAAATTGTTACTTTTAGACAGGAAGAACAAGGCACGTGAGTATCCGAAGCTACTGACGTGACACACCCTGTTGAAAAGTCTTAAGTTTAACAAAGTGGATCATGGAAAAAAAGTGAACGATGTCACATTGTTGTAAAAAATCCAAACACCATGCAGAAAATAAAGTATATAATTGTAAGGCGTGTGAAGTAGTCCTTTTGTTCTACCTACAGGTCACTAGTGAGGTTTTAGCAGTGTCCAGCTGGAGAAAGAGCAGAGGATAGTGATGACTGTGATAAGTGTTTAAACTTGTAGAAAAGGTGCATGAAAAAAGGTTATCCTAACATACAATATGTTCACAGAGAAAAAAAATAACTTGTTCTTCATGTCTGTTGTTAATGGGATAGTAAGTAGAGGAATGAAGTTGCAACAAAAGGTAACCTTATGTCAGACTCAGAAAAAACTTTCTACAGAAAGAGTACTGAAACAGTGGAATGTGTTGTCTGTAGAGATAAGTGGGACTCCACTGCTAGTTGTCTTTAAGAACAGTCTGTAAAGATAATACAATTGCGTTCTCTCCCATTACAGGAAGATGACTAGAGGACATCTTGAGTTCCTTTCGAGGCCTTGAACTTCACAAAATTAGCTTTATAAAGTACATGCTGTATTTGAGATTGAGGAAGTACTAAAATAATAACTCTGAGACCTCCTTTACTAGATTGTCATAGCACTGGTATTTTTATTCAATATTTTACACATTTAAATGTTAAAACTATGAATTAGTTTTGGCACTGTATCAAGGACATAGCTAAAAAATCCAGATATATCTTTATAGTGATTTTTTTTTTTTTTTTTTTTTTTTTTTTAAATTTATCCCTGAATCAAATGTATGGTCTTACAGGACATGAAGAAATTTGAAGTTGAGGTGAGAGCCCTGCAGGCTGCGTTGGAGCAAGCCCAAGCCACACTGACCTCTCCAGAGCTCGGACATTTGAGCTTGAAAGAGCAGCTTTCTCACAGACAGGTAAAAGACCAGGACCTCAAAGTTACCACTTAAGTAGTGTGAGCTTACACAAAGAATAATGAAAGTTGATGAGACTGAATGTGGTGTTACTTAAGTGGGTCGTTGTCTCTGAGTCTAGCCCCAAATTGCTGCCAAGGGAATAAGGGATGGAACAGGGAAAAAGTAATTCCCCCAAAAGGAAAGGTTGGAGTACGGTGCTTTATGAGTCCGTTCTTGGGTTGATGCCATTCTGAGAAATGTGCATCCAATCCAAGTTTAATGCATATTAATAATAATAACAAATCTCAGTTCTTATCCAGCACTTTTCATCAACAGGTTCTTCAAGTACTTCAAAAGGAAGTCTAGATTCTTATCACCATTTTACAACTAGGGATATAATGACATGGTGTGTTGCTAGCTCCTCCAATAATCCACTGGAAAGCTAAGGGAAAATTCCGTTTTCCTTAAGCCCAGTTACATTTTTGTATGTTTAGTTGAATTACTCCCAGAACATATTGCTGCTTTCTGTGTTACGCTTGGCCCACTATAGAGATTTGTCAATTTGTTATTTTTGGTCTCAGTCTCATGACAAGAAAAATAACCCAAGTCATCGCTTTCTGAGTTGCTTAAGAAATGTTTCTTGCTGCAAGCTAATGTAGAGATTGAACTGTCCTAGTCAACCAGTGAAAACTAAATGTCAACAGGTCCACTGTAGGATGAAAATCTGCAGAAAAACCTATGGATGAAAGGTGAATTTGCAGGGCTTTCCCTTTTGATTAAAATATGCAGTCTTTATTCTACAGACTTGCAGCCACATTTCAGAATATGGCATTGAAGAGTGTAAATGAAACATGTCACCTACTGTAAGAGTAAAGAAATATGGAGTTACACTGTTGTTTATGTGTATTCTTTGTCCTGGCTATAGCAGGTCTTACAGTAGGACTTTTGTTTGTACAGAAAGGGGCTGTAACCCCGGCACACCTGTTTCAGCAGACCAGAGAGGGGGTCTTGGAGAGTGCCTGGCTGGTGTGCAGCCCCCAGGGTATCTCTGGGTACCGATTATACAATAAGGCAGCAGCATGGGGCCTGCCAGAGGAGAGGCCTCACCAGTGATGTCCAAGGAATAGGTCATTACATCAAATCTCTGGTTAGATTATCCACCATACGTCACAAAGGTACAGAAATGAAGAGCAAACCACAATCCTCTCATCATTCAGACTCACCTAGCTACCTTTCTGCGTATGGCATAGCAGAAAGGAGACAACCACATACGTTGTCTAGCTGACTTATATCTATTGAACTTAAAATCTTTTTGTAATGAGCTAAGGCCCTTTTCATCAACTTTGCCTTTTTCAGTTGTGGTGGTTTTTTTTGTTTTTCTTCTTCTATCTGTGAATACATTGAACTCCCCAGTGAAGACAAAAAGAATGATGATCAAATCTGTTCTCCAGTCATTGCACTTAGACCCTCTGATGCATATGAACAGACAGCTTGAATGGACATTTTGAATGGAAGAGAGACTATTAACAAAGGCATCCAATGTGTGATTATTCAGAGGAAAAGATTTCTGTGTAGCTGTGTTGCTTTCTGTTTGACTGCCTTTTGAATTTTAAGCAACATTTTCAGCCATGGTTTGTATTTTCAAAGGACGGCTGTGAACACTTTAAGATTCATTTGCTGGTTTGAAAATCTGCTTCTGTGTCTCAGCTGGGAGTTCCACTTTGATTTGAACATTAAAATATGTGTATACATAAATGACTCCTATGCTGCTTTGGTTTGTGGATTTTGTAAAGATAGATTTTCAAATAAGTTAACAGAAATATTTTGGAATTGAGACACTTAGAAATGGGTACTACTGTTCTTTTTCACAAATTGTTTTTATTCCTATTGTATGGGCTTGTTGCTTAACTAATATTTAAAAGAATGCTCGTTTCAGAATGAGCAGCTCCAGACAAAGTGTGTCCTGATTATATTCCATATAGAAAACTTATAATCAATTTAATTGGTTTTAGTGCTTGAACTTGTCATTTTTTTTCTTTTGTTGCATCAAACGCTCTGGGAGTTCTGCAAACCTAGCTTATTGTGGCACTGACTTTTTGTTTCTAGCATCTGTTGTCTGAAATGGAGTCTCTGAAGCCGAAGGTTCAAGCGGTCCAGGCCTGCCAGAGCGCCCTGAGGATTCCCGAGGAGGTGGTCGCTGGCCTGCCGATGTGCCACAGTGCGCTGCGGCTCCAGGAGGAGGCCAGCCGCCTGCAGCATGCTGCCATTCAGCAGTGCAATGTCATGCAGGCAAGTGCATCTCTGCCCTGTCCATTACGCGGAGTAACTTGGCCAGAACCGTACGAGTTGTGATGAAAACAGAGAATTTTGTAGCTCCATGCATTCCTCTTTTCCGTGTAGTACCATTAGGAAGTTCCCCGCTAAGTTTTAGTCATTTCCGACTCCATGTTTTTGGAGGTTTTAACATTTGTGATCACGTTTGTTGATGATTTACTCATTAGAATCTCAGAATCTCATCTCTGTTCTCTCCTTAATCTTGCTGGTTTTTATAATGCTGTTAGGATTAACTAGACAAATAGCTAATGCACAATTGTATGCAGGTTAATTTTATAACATATGTAATCAGTTAATGGAATTAATATACCATTAGAACATCAACTGCTTATCATGATTGCATGAAAACTGTTGAATTAATTAAATAGCTTTCTAGGATTAAAATAATGATTTTTTTCTCTTTATTTAAAATTTTTGTATATTTGCTTTCTGATTTTTTAGTCATTCAGCATCTATTAAATTTGCATTTTCAAGTTTTGCTAAATCAAAGAAAACTAGGTTTTGTTTGATTGTTTGAATTCATACTCAAACACGTAAAAGGTATTTACAAAGGAGAGAGTAAGCTTTTCTTTCCTGCTCTGTAGTAATGGAAAAATACCTAGTGAGCTAGTGTACAACCACAGAGCTTGAGTTAGAAAACAGGTGAGTCTTTCTATCATTAAGGATACTTAATGATACTTAAGTATGAGGAAGGATACAATGTCACACTGAGAAGTTTTAAAAACAGATTAGACAAACTGCTGGTGAATCTATGATAGAAAGAACTGATACTACACTGGTAGAATAATGGTATGGATCAACTTTCATAATCCTCTCACAGTTGTATTTTCTGCAAAAACCTAACTTTTTTGTGTAGTCTTTCCACTTCCTAAATAGAGGCTGGAAGTGAAAAAGCCGATGAAAATGCTTTATAGTAAAACCATGAGACTGTGCAATACTGTCTTTTGGTGGGTATGTTTGATGCAGATACTTGTTGGAAGCAGAAGTTATGGCTCCTTACATTGGATATCTAAAACATCATGTTAAGTGAACTGTTTCTTGGAAATAGTTAAATAAATGAAACCATTGAATTCATTGCAGTTCACAATATTTCTGAACAGACTTTTTGCTGACTGTGTTCCTGCTTTGCTTATCCAGATGCAGGTACCAGATAGATGTAAGTTTGGTCCACTTCGGAAGGGAGATTAGGCATGCTTGGCCTAAGTAAATATTTATTTTTGTGTAGACACTCAATATTTTTTTTCCCCTTTCTAGGAAGCAGTGGTTCAGTTTGAGCAATATGAACAAGAAATGAAACATTTACAGCAAATGATAGAGAGTGCCCATCGTGAGATCCAAGACAAGCCAATAGCAACCAGCAACATCCAGGAACTCCAGGCGCAGATTTCACGTCATGAGGTAGGAGACCCAAAATGCAACAACATGGGCTTAGTGACAGCTCATTGACCCAAAAATCTTTTCACAAGCAATGGTCATAAATTGACTGAGTAGCTTTTCAGACTTGCTCAAGGCTGGTTGAGCAGGTAGACTACCAGATAGGAAACTTATGCTGTTGGTATAGTGTGTAGTACTCGTTTGTTTATTCAGTTAGATGCGTCCTGATCTCTAGGCGACATTATGACAAACAAAAGCATTGCGTAATTAAGGGACAGTTAACATGGGTTTTTGAGTGAGGAGTGTCCCAGAAGTCATTGTTGAGCAGTTAGTCAGGTGATCGCTGCTAGTTCAATGATCCTTTTTTACATGTGTGTGTGTATATATATATATATATATATCTATCGATATCTCTATCTACTAAAGAACTTACTCATTTCCATCCCAGTAACATTCTGCTAAAGAACACAAAGGGACCTGAATCACAGGAAAACCACAGTAGATTTGGAGGAAAACTCTGCAAGCTTGAGTCTAGAGGCTTCTTGCTAAAGTCATTGTTGAGAAGAGTTCTGTCCTGTAGAGTTACAGGTCCTGCCCTCAAGCTCATTGATCCTCAGCTCTCAAATGAGCCGGGAAAGTCTCTGTGCAGCCTTCTCACTGTGCTGCCATGGGAGCTCCAGAGCCACTTTCCCCTTCCGTTGTCTTTTGTGTGTTTCTTGGGACAGAAAATGCGCCATTGAACTCTGTGTGTCACTTTCAGCACCAGATGGCACCATTTCTTTACCTTTGTGTTAAAAGCTCTCTGCTATTATGTAGTGCAACCTCGTGTTATATCTGTTCTGCATTTTCTATCCAATTGTTACAAAAGTTACTTAGTATCAATGAAGATCAGTTAGCTTAAACAATTTTGACTTTTTAGTACTGAATTAAAAATGCTGCTATTCTTTATTCAAATGTTCTGGAACACCAAATCCAGGAGAGAGTGACTTCAGCGATACAGGGTAATATTTCTGGAGGAAGGAATGATGCTGTAGGGAGCAAGGGATTAAAAATGGGGCAGCCTGACATTTCAGCTCCATTTGAACAAGTTCAGTAGCTAGGAGTCCTTCTTAAACATCTGCAGGAAGGCAGCAGCCTTACTCTGTTGCACATCTTAGGATCAGTCAGAGTGGACAGGTTTCATATTTGCAAGCTTTCCACATTTAGGGATGACGAGTTCTGAAAGACTGAGATATGCATATTTTGGCTCATATTTTGTCTGCTAAATACCTGTGGAAAAGCACAGCATAAAGGGGATATACTGAACCCTAAATTATTATACTACTTTGAAAGGCAAGTCTGTCAAGATGCTTGTTACATGTGTTATTAAAGAAAACATCAGTTACCAGATTTCCAGTGGAAGCCTTCATGAACAAGGACTTAAAGGGAAGTCTGTAATAGCTATATTTAGGATTACAGTAAGAGAAAGAAAGCAGAAGGAAAGTACATCCTGATTATGTAGGAAGCTTGTATTACTCTGCATATATGTAACTAGTTACATTCTGGAACTATGTTTGCTGAACCATGTTTCTTTGGACTTTCAGAGAAGAACATGGGCCACTATCTCCATGCTTGTGAATTATTTTAATGGATAATACAGCACCTCATAGCAGATTGCTTTTATAAGTTGCCTTATGTTTTTCACAATCACATTTTTGCCTCCTTTTCCTTTGTTTTCAGTTGAGAGAGGTGTGTTAGATACTGAATACATTGGACATTAATGGCACAAATGTTACTGCATTTCTGTGATATTCATGGAGTTGAGTATATTGAATGACAATAATTTCGCACTGAGCCACAGAGATGTCATTCATTGAGCATTAGTGAATGACTGGTACTTGCGAACCAGAGAGAAAATTATTCCAGCTGCTAGACATTAAAGTTATGGCTTGATTTGATTGCAGTTTGGTTTTTGATTGATCTAGTTGATGTTTTGCACTCAAGACTTTGCTTAGTCTCCAAGATAAGCCTTGGAGCTCAAAGAGGGCTCTTCGTATTGCTAGTGTGACAGACAGTGACCAGATATCATTGAAACCCAGGGAGTACAGTATCATCTTCAGTCTTTGTGCTGCTTCTAACTCTGGATTTCTTGCTGTGACTGTTCTGCACTGTGATTTTGAGGAAACGGTTCCTGGAAATGGAAACTGAATTTTTTTTTTTTTTTTTTATTTACCAGCCTGAAGGAGCAATCTTGTTTTTTTAAAGATGTTATAATTATTTTTCACTATACCTACTAGTTCTTGCAGCTTCTGTTGCTATTTTTCCTTGAAAACTTGTGCTTGTTGAAGAAATAAAAGCAGATATAAAACAGGAATATATACTGGAATGAATAATCACTGATTTAGCAGGCAAGCTTACGCAAATGTTGTTTTCACTTTATAGACCAAAATTCTATCATGTTACTGAGCCTCTAGGGAGACAGGAGGAATAACTTTGGCAGAAATGTGACAATCTTTCACCATTTTTTATTTTAAGTATATTAAGTGAAGGCCTTGAAAGTGGACACTGAACTAGGCAGCAATTCAGGGTAGGAGAGAAGACAAGGCAGTTTATAAGGCTATTCATTTCCAGCTTTCTTCTTTGACTAAACTGAAACTTGTGATGGTTTTTGGCCATGCGGATAGACCATTTCATAGCCATGAAACCTAATATTTTAAAATATGCTGTGCTTTAGGCCAGAAACCCCAGCTCCTTTTAAAGAAAGGTTAGTACTGTACGCAGCTCAGCTTTTAATTCTGAAGACTTACACAAAACTGAAACAAGATTGAAATATAGCTTGTCCAAACACTGGCAAAAAACGGTCCAGTCTGCATTTAATCTTATTATGCGACTGATTGTTCATATCACATTTGATCGGGCTAGTCCCTGTGAGTTATTGTTTGGACAATTCATTCTTTCTGGCAAGCGCTGAATGGGGCATTTTTTACAGCTGTGGTTACCACATGACCTCATTTCCATGGCATGCACCATGCGGAGAAGCTTCATCTTCCTCAGATAAATGGAAATAGAACGGGGAGGGGGAAAATCGCACAGGAAGAGGGCGAGACGTTTCCCTTTGCTGCAGTCTGCAGCTTGTCGGCTTCATGTCAGGTTCAGGCTGGATGCAAGCCGTGAGGCGTTCCTCCCTCCCGCCTGCAATTATTGCAGGCACGGAGCCTTCAGCGGCGCTTTCCCGGTCGCGCGTCAAGGCGCTCAGCTCTGCGGTGTAGCTGCGCAGCTGGGCGAGCTGGGCTTGTTGGCCCCACTGCCATCATCCTGCACGTCAGCCGACGTAGCGGCTCACGCAGGGTTTCCGAGGGACAGTGCTGTCATGGCATTGGCTGCGCTCAGCTCGCGGGGCCGCGCTCGCCTTCGCCACGGAAGCTGAGATGCTGTGGGTCCTGTGGCCTTCGCCGGCTGCCTCTGCATCAGGGGGAAAAAAATGTTTCCTCAGGAGCTGGCTCAGAAGATCAAAGGATACCAGGAGCAAATTACTTCTCTGAATTCGAAGTGCAAGATGCTGACAATGAAAGCAAAACATGCTACCATGCTGCTGACGGTGACAGAAGTCGAGGGGCTTTCAGAGGGAATGGAGGAGTTGGATTCAGACCTGCTCCCAGCACACCCCGCTCACCCCTCGGTGGTTATGGTAAGGAATGTGTTGGTCTCGGTACTGTTTATCTGAGCTGCTTGCTTTTGCATGGTTGCGACACTCCTGTGTAGCAAGTTACCGCAGCTCACATCTACGTTTTGCTTTTGAAATGGCTGGAGTGTGGCAAACCAAACAAGCTGCAGCTTCCCCTTACTGTATTTTGCTTTATATGGGCTTTCAAGACTCGTTGATAAAGGGTGAAGTCATTTAACAGTCAAATACCGGCGGAAGTTGTTTGTAATAAGATGCAAATATAGTGCTTTTTCGTACCTGTCAGCATGCAAGAGCGAATGCTAAGAAACTACTGAATTGCAGGAGTAAGATAAAACCGGAATAAATATTATTTCATAACATGTTGCAGTGTATCGGTTTTACGCACCATATTTTTAAAGCTCTTGTCTTAAAATGTTGATGTGATAATTGACAGTATGCTGCTATATTGTCAGATGAGTATGTTGGAAATGAAAGCTGATGAAGTACTGCCACAGGCCTCATGTTTGAATTACTCTGCTTTTGTTTCTTATTGGGTCTCGTTACAAACATACTGCTGATGACATTGGCATTTTTGTCTGAGTGAACACAGAGTGCAGATTTCAGGATTTATCACTTTATCACTTTATAACAGCATTAGGGAATGAAGAAAAATGTGTTGCTACTGGATTGAGTGTATTTTGTATTTTAGGTCTATTCTTTGCTGTTCTAAACAGGCCTGAATACTGCATTATTCTGTAGCTCTCCTTAGTATTTCCATATGCAGCTGTGATTGTATTAGAAGACATTTAGACAAACCCTGCTTTGTTATTATTGAGTTGCTTGCTATACATTTTCTTTTAAATTCATTAGGGTACAGGAGAGCATGCTCATGCTGAAGTATGACAAGTAAATGAGACTATTAATTGAACCAGATTTTTAAGCTGGTATATGTAGTAGTGTGAAGTATGACTGAAAAATAGTGTGGTAATTCTGGCCGTGTGTTGTTTTTCTTGTTTTGATCTCAGTCTAAGTCAAATTTCAGTTGAGATAACTGATTTTCTTCCTATGCTCTGGGGTTGCTTTTCCTGTGGCAGATGACTGCTGGTCGCTGTCACACGCTGCTCTCCCCTGTCACTGAGGAGTCTGGGGAGGAGGGAACCAACAGTGAGATTTCTTCTCCACCTGCCTGTCGCTCTCCCTCACCTGTGGCTAATACAGATGCTTCTGTTAACCAGGTACCTCCCTCTTGGCATTCATTCAGCTTTTATCTCAGAGACATGCATGGTTCCATTTCACAGGTTGTTTATTTAATCCTCTGGAATAATGTTACCTATAGCTCCAGGGATCTGAGGCTTAACCTCTGACCTTCCTGAACCTTCAGGTTCCTACTCCAAAATAGATACAAATATTGACTTCTGACTTTAAAATATATAAATTTGGGGTTACAGCTGTTCACTATTTTTAAAAATAAATTTTAAGTGATAAATACAAAGCTCTTCCTTGTCACTACTGTTTTCTATTTATAATCTAGTTTTTGTTTTCACAGTAGTACTGAGTGGAATCTTGCATCCTGAGAAAAAATGCAATTTTGTACTGCCCATGATAAAACATTGCATTATGTCTATATACATCTATCTGATGGTACCATTGGCATTGTAGCATTGAAGTCACAGTCTGATATCTTCAACTTCAAACCATTTCAAGTATTAACTTTCATGTATTTTTTCATATATTGTTCATTCCATACTTTCAGTGACAGTCTATTTTAAGTGCTAATGAGACAGATCAGTGGAATCATGAAAGTTAGATTTTAAATCAAGACTGAGGACTCTGGCACTGAAGTGTACATCAACATTGATTAAAAAGTGACCAATGAACCTGTTCATTGAGCAACATGCACATGAAGACAGATAAAACATTACGCTTTAGATGTTTAGGAACGTGCCTTAGGAGCAGTCACCACCTCACTGCATTCATCATGGTGTGGGTTTTGTGGTTGGTTGTTTTTTCATTTGAGGCTGCTTCCAAAATTGACCACTGCAGACTTAAAGGGTAGAATGGTGTTGCATTGCATTGCTGAGTAGAAACAGAGATGTTTGAGCAACATGTCTTCTAATTCTTCCACTCATTTCCAAGATGCATATGGTGCTGTAGAAGTTGCTATATACAAATGATTCATTTTCATGAACTGACTAAAGAAAGAATACTATGGTAACATAGTAAAAATGGTGACAAAATCTTCATAATAACAAAAAGTTTCCTTCATAATAAAAGAGTTATATAATGAATGAGAAAGATTTTATTTTTTTTTCCTAGTGTTCTGTCATTTCAGATAATCAGAAATTTCCAAGTAAAGTTTTCTTACAGTAGAAAGGCAGCTATATATTTCAGCACAAAAATCTTATGCCACTGTTAATCAGTGAAAGAGTTAAAGGAGGAAGAGCAACTTGCTTTCTAATAAATACATTCAGTGTTAGTTCATTACATTCCTCTGAAAATGAAAAAAATAGATTAAGACCTCAAATAACTCAAATAATAAGGAAAATCCAGTGAAGATGCTGTTGCACCATGAGCTGACACCAAAATGCAAGGTTTAGAACCTGATACACAGGGCAGAATTGAGCAAAAAGATTGTCTTTCATTTAGCAGATCTTTGAAGAAGATAAAATGTATGGTGTTATAATAATCTAGAAAACTGACAGATGAAGGTTTCTTCAGTGTTGTTAATGTTGAAATGAACTGCATGTACTAAACAGCAAGCAGAAGAACATTCCAAAATGCAGTGGTTTACTTACAAAATGCTTAGGTTCACACTTACATGAGATTAAAACTTACTAAAGAAGCTATGAAATTGCCAGTGCTGATCATGATGAATGCCCAGGGAGACTTCAGAAAAGAAGGTTGGTTAAAAAAATAATCTATATAAAAGTGAATTAGGATCTCCAATGTAATTTTAAAATATTTTTTGTTCAGTAAAAGACTCAGCAAAACTAATTTTGAAGTATTTTGTCTTGAAAAGTAGTCAGTCTTAAGAGAAACAATTTCTTACAGGAAAATCACCTGCAGAGTGCCAGAAAAACATGTGAACAGGAAGTCTAGAAAGCAAAGAATTATGTTAATCTATACTTTGGAAAAAAAATTTAAAGTTCACATGAAGTAGGGAGGTTTTGAGAGAAAAGATTGGGTGTTAAGACTGTTTTTAAATTCATCCCTAATAATCTATGCACACTCTTTCATCAGGGTTTCCTAGCATCTCTTGATGGTGAAACGTGGCTAGTCTGAACTGAGACATCTATGTATTATTTCTACATTGCGAACAAGTGATGAAAATATGAAACAAATGCCAAGTGCATATCAGTGGCAATATTGGTTCTAGGTATTGAAATCGATTAAACTAAGACCATAAATACAAGAAAGTGACAGATCTAGCACTGTTACAAGCGAACAGTTGCCCAGGTTGTTTGTTTTGTACTGAAACTCCTCTAAAAACAGCTGCGGGAGCGGAGAATAACTATAAAAATGTTAACTTTTAAAAAGGCAGAGGAATTTCACAGTGTATAATGTTTCAGCAGTAGATAACAGTCCTTTAATGCAGTTTATTTTGATGTGTGCAAAATTAGGCACTTTATCAGTAATGCAACACTGAATGAGAATCCTCTGAGGCTAAACCAGCTCATGTTTACCCGAAGCTATAGTAGATTAAACTTAGCACATTCTTTTAAAACTTATTTTCCATAATGCAGAGCAACTGAAAAAGCTGAAGTGTTGACACAAAGCCCTGGGGGTCACAGCTGACCCTGTGATTCAAGTCTTCAGCACTGGGTCGCTATTAAACGTCTTTCTGTCTGCTTGCTCACAGCCTACTTAATCGTCCTTTCTCCTTCCTTATGAAAACTCATTGAGGGTGCAACAGCCCTTGTTAAATATCTTTTGAAATCTAAACACACCCTTTTCCCCACCATCCTAACAACAAACCTTGAGTACTTTTCATTGGCTAATTTTTGTAAAAGAGGGCATAAGATGTTGGGGCCTTTATAGGGAAAAAAAAGTCTGTTATGTGTAAGAGCATCTGGATTCACACTGTCAGCTTTAATAGCCCTACCAAAAAGAAACTGTCATCTTGTTTACTCCAAAAAGGAGTTGGAAAGATGTGGAAAGGGATTCTCCTGTTTTAAAAGTAAGACCTTTATTCTGGAAGTGATGATTAAGAAGTCTCAGAAGCACAGCTCTTTTCTTTGCCTTGAGAGAGGACCAGCTGAGAGCTGGAGAATACCTGCAGACAAGGCAAAATGAGAAGTTGCTTGCACTGGTGCAATTTTTCACTGTGACTTGGAAAGATCACTTGTGGTCAGAGTAAAAAAATCTGAAATTGCAGTACTGAATGTTGTGCTAAGCTGTTACCTATTCCTTGTTGGTCTTGGACATCGGAAACACTTTCGTCATTTCTCCAATTTCCCAGTTACTGCCTTTGAAGAAGTGCCTCATCTGACACTTTTGGACAGTTTGATGTGCTGTGCATTCCTGAGTCTTTTGTTTCTCTGGAGAGACTGACTTCTTCAGGCATCCTCAGTAAAGAGGTGTGGCCAAGCTGTCTCTAAAACACACTCTTGGCTGCTGCCTCCCTTTAAAAACACTGGTGGTGATCTGTGAGTAGCGCCTTAATTGTTAAAATGTCCATACATGAAGCAGATAAACCTGATAAATCTCTTTGTTCTTGGGGGAAGGACTGAAGAACCGTATCTGTGCAGCTGCTGGGTGACAGGGTGTTTTCTGGGACAGATGGGCATTCTGTGCTCCCTAGGTTTGGTTAGAAAGAAAGCCCAAGAGGTGACTGTGCCTGAGAAGTGACCTGGTTTCTGTGCTCTTCCAGAGCTTGTTTGCTTTTGTTCGCATATGGCGTTAGACAGCATTTTGAAATGGCTGTGGTGCCTCGGAAGTAGTCTTATTTAATACCTAAATTTATATACCCGTACAGAATCAGAGAATGGTTGAGGTTGGAAGGGACCTCTGGAGGTCACCTGATCCAACCCCCTTCCTCAAGCTGGGCCACATACAGCAGGCTGTCCCGGATCGTATCCAGGTGGCTTTTGAGTATCTCCAAGGACGGAGACTCCACAGCCTCCCTGGGCAACCTGTCACAGTGCTTGGTCAGTAAAAAAGTGTTTCCTGATGTTCAGAGGGAGCCTTCTGAGTTTCAGTTTGTGCCCATTGCCCCTTGTCCTGTCACTGGGCACCACTGAAAAGAGCCTGGCTCTGTCTTCTTTGTACCTTCCCTTCTGGTATTTTATACCCATTTATACTCTTACATGTGCGGTATGGCAAATGGTCTGTGGTCTATTTGTTAGATGCAGCTCTGTAAGCTGTCAAGTAAAAGGCACTTAGTTTTCTCTCAGTCACATGGCTCAACACACTGATTTTTCCTCCCATCATACAGGGTCAGGAAAGAAGTAATCTGATAAATTTGCGGTCATTGGAGGAAGATTTTCCAAGTACACTTTTTAGTAGTTTTTGAACAACTTTTTATGCAAGTATTATGATAACTCTGAGAGTTACCCAAAAGGAGGCTTGGTCCAGCCTAACAGAAATTAGTGGATAATCTCTCACTGATTTCACTGGCATAACGCTGTGTCTTAAAGTTTTCACCAGGGGCATTTAAAAATTCAAAATTATAGAGGAAAATGGACAATAGCTGCTGTGCCACATGGTCTGGAGCATAGTTAACTAAGTGGAGCTACTAAGTGAGAAGAGGGAAGACTACATCATTTTTCATCTTCCAAATAGATGTGGTGGTAACTGTCATACATGGTTTCAGTTTTAAATAATCCTTGTCATCAAGTCTGCTTTCCTGACTTGAATGTAGATACTGTGCATGTTTCCTTAATTTTACGTTTTCTATCAGTCTTTTTAATTGCCACCTGAAATAGCTGAAGAAATCCGCATACACTAAATGTAGAAGTTCTAGTGAGAAACAGTTCCACCCTGAATTTTTAATGGTAATATGAGCCTTTGCCCATTTTCTTTAGCACTTCTGGTCCCTTTCCCCACTGTCTTTTATACGTTAGGTGAGAGTACCTGTTTGTTTGAAGGCTTACTATAAGCTAAGTGCTTCATACAATTTCTCACATCATTGACTAGTCCTTCAGCATATTCCTTTTTGGTTCTTCTGTGTTGCCTTCTCTGTGCTAGTGTTCATTAGGGTAATATTCTTTGCCACCTACAGTACCATAACCCACTGTCTGTTGTGATAGGTTTTCCCCATGTGTAGTTGTGATGATGCTAGACCAACACTCCCACTTGTAGCACTCCCCTCCCAGTGTTTTCATGTCTGTCTGCAGTTGCCTCGGATGCCTCCTGGCTAACATGAACATGAAAAAAAAATGCATCCACAGTCTTCGTCGTAGTGAATCTCCAAACCATACTCAGTGTACTACTAGTAAATATTTATTTACTGTGTTTCTCAGCGATTTCCTGGCTTTGTGGGTTTTATTTTAACGGACATATGCAATGGGGCAGTATGTGGGGGGATATTCTTATGCAGTATCTCATGTTTTGAAAGTGCAATAACATGCTTTGTGCTTGTAGGACATTGCTTATTACCAAGCCTTATCTGCTGAACAGTTGGCCTTGTCTGCTGAACAGCTACAGACAGAAGCTGCTAAAATTCAGCCCAGCACTTCAACCACCCAGGAGTTTTATGAACCAGGCTTAGAATCAGCTGCTAGTGCCAAATTGGATGACTTGCAGCGTTCTTGGGAAACACTGAAAAATGTAGTAAGTCTTCATCCAGAGGGTTCAAAATAATCATCGAGCTTGTAAGGAACGAAATGCAAAGAACTGGCTTAACTAATATTCTTGTCTGCAATTCTTGGTTTTCAGGTGGTAAGAATTGTTAGTTGAGATACTGTACTACACTGGCTTTGTTCTTTGTTTGAAAGCCTGAGCAGGATGGACCTCCATTAAGGAAAAATAAAAGTCATTAAGGCTGATAGTTGCCTTCAGAAATATTGGCTGTATTCAGACTATATTCCACACCGTAACAGGGAAATCCACTCATGCTTGATGAGTTGGCAAAAAAGGCCCAAGAATCCACTTTTTCCAAATACTGAGTCAACACATTTCTACATAGTAGTGCAGCATAATCTTTCAGTGGTGTAAGAAAATGCTCAAAGTTTTTATCACATGCTAGAAAATTCTTTGCAGAGGCACAATAGCTATCATGGGGTATTAAAAATTATGTGTCTAGCAAATTGTGCACATCCACATGTTTGAGTGCATAAAACCTAAAATAAGGCATGAAAATTTTCCTAGGTTTTCCCTGCTTTTTAAAGTCTATTTTTTCAGTCACAGAACCTAGGATTTGACTGATGATGTTTAAACAGATAAATATTTTTAATATGGATGGCTTTCTTTCTAAGTTTTTGGTTTTAGTCTCGTAAGCCCAGGGCTGTATGAAGCAGAAGAAAGAGTAAATCCTGTATCAGAAGTCAGAATTTATACCTTTTGTTCCTCTTCAGATCAGTGAAAAGCAGCGCACTCTCTATGAAGCTCTTGAGCGTCAACAGAAGTATCAGGACACTCTCCAGTCTATATCCACAAAAATGGAGACCACTGAGATCAAACTAAATGAGAGTTTGGAACCAGCCAAAAGCCCAGAGAGCCAGATGGCTGAACATCAGGTAGAAATCATATGTGAGAAGTAGAGGGAAAGCATGCATTACCTGTATAGGTTTAGTTCCTTTTTTTTAAGATAGTGGCATTCTTCATGGCTGGATGCATAAAAAACATGCATTAATTGTATGAACCTTCTTTGTTTACTGTATATCTTGCCTTTCTTGACTTCCCACTGTTCTAAAGATGGTGCAATAGGGATTTTTTTAGCAAGGAGCCTTTTAAAAAAATAGAATAGAGTTCGTCCAGACAGAATTTTCAGCAAAATCTTTTGTCAAAGATTGTGTTCAGTGACACCTACACATGCTGTTCTTCAGCATCAGTGCTACTAGTATATATCAGACTATTTATAATGGTCTCAAATTTACCAAGATCATAACCAATACTAATGCATTGTAAATTGATCTAAATACAATCTTTGCCTTGTTAAACAAAACAAACCAAAGCACACAAAAAAATCTCTCCCAATGGAAATGTTGAGAAATTATGCTCTGAATAACAAGAGAATTCCTTATCATGTAGCCAATCTGACATACATCCAAGCTGTAATCGTCTAAGCCTTTTATCTGATAGCTTGAAACTATCTGGTGGGGCCAGTTCTTATTTCACTAGGAACTCCGTAACCTTAAAAGGCTAACATTTAGCTTTTGTAGCACTGTGTGATGTCCTGAGTATCCAATGTCTATCTGCTATCAGACATGAATGTATCTGCTCTAATGTACTGGTAAAGCACCATCCTTCTGTAGGTATCTTGGAAACTGATATATAGGGTAACAATGATAGTAGGAACTTCTTTTGCATGACAGCGTTAATCTCTGGATGTTCTTTGTGCAGTTAGTAAATTTCAGACTGGAAGCTAACTCGTACCCCTGTACCTCTCTCAGAAACACAAACTCACTTGTTCATTATCTTCATTGTATCTACTAGAATACCCTCCAGAAAATTTGTTTGAAGAATAAATCTGAATGTGTAATATTTCCAAAATAATTCCTTCTCATGATACGTTTGAAATTCAAGATAAGTAATTAAATTCATATTTCAGTTATCAGATGCGTGATCCTGGCTTAAGCATCTAAAAGCAGGATTCAGTCCTCCTGAATTCTGACTACCAAACCAGCAGTAATATATTGCACTAGTTTGTGTTTCTCACGCTCCCTTGTGACAATCATTTTGAACTTTATATTAAGCCTATGCCTCCTGAGATGCTTTCTTCTCACTGATAAATGAAACAAATACTTTCTCTGCTCTCCTTTCTAAACAGGCTTTGATGGATGAGATTTTAATGTTACAAGAAGAAATCACTGAGCTTCAGACGTCATTAGCCCAGGAGCTGGTTTCAGAACCCCTGGATGCAGAGGCTGCTGATCAGCTGGCATTGCAGTCCACTCTCACGGTCTTGGCAGAACGAATGGCAACAATTCGAATGAAGGCATCAGGAAAACGACAGCTATTAGAGGTATGAGAAAAAAAACCTCTAGGAGTGGGCCTTTTGGATCACATTCTAGATTCTGAGAGCTGCTTTTGGCAGACCTGTGCTTTCACCAAGGTCTTGTAGTCACCATTGAATGCTGGTAATTAGAAAAGTAATTTTCAGTTCTGCTCATTTGTCACGATTCCTTTCACTGATAAATTACTGTTCTTTTTTAGCAAGCCCTGCATCTTAATGCTAGGTCATAAGTAGCTAGAAGGAACTTGGAAACACACTTCAGGAGTCTTTTTTTAATACATATATATAATTTTTTTTAATATCCACATTGACATTTTCTCAGTAAGTTCCCTCCGTATTCCTTGTCGTTGTCAAGAAGTAATGAAGTGCAGGTATTAAAAGTCATGTTATCTGCAGTACATTTTTGAGGAGTCGCCTGTCCAAACTGGGAGACAAGAGAACGAGGAAAGCTTAAAAAAAGAAATAATACCTCTTCCAAACCATTGCGTTGTTCTTTACACTCGTCTTCCCGGCGGTTTGCGTGCAAACTTTTATCATGGAAGATGCACTCCTTTATTTTTCTGTCTACCAGCTGTACCAAAAATCCTTTAATACAAAGGTGATTTTTGAAAAGTCATTTACATATAGGAAGGTTGCTGCATATATTATACAGGTGAGAAAATGCAGTCATGCTAAAGCTGGCTACAGTTTGGCTACTTTGAACACTGCAGGGCAGCTTTACTGCTGTACTGCGAAGAACTGCAGGAGTGAATTCATAAACACAGCAACTGTTGCCTTCATAATTTCCAGCATCAATCGATTCTGAGAGACTTAGTGAAAGCTGGCTCTGTGGATCTGCCTGGATTACAGGGGAGTTCCAGGGTGCATTGACTGCATTAGTTCTGTGCAGTCACCTGAGACAGTGAACAGGTCCTTAGACAATATCTTCGTTATCTTAAAAGATTGCCCTAAGTTTTATTTCTCTGAAGAAAAATGGCTTTTACATAAAAATAAGAAGCTGGAAGTGGAATAGGGATCTTGCTGTTTATAGCTTACACCCCATACAGGATCTTACAAACTTCTTAACAGTACTTAGGAGGAGATGTTATCTAATAATTTCAAGATAAATCACGAGTCTAATACACTACTCTTAACTGTCAGAATCCTAACCATAGTTATTTTGATTCAATAGCACAGGTATCCCCCAATAATCCTGGCTAAGAAATATGTATGGTACGCAGACAACATTTAGTAATTTAACCTGTGCAATTTATAGCTCTGATTTCACGAATAAAATCTTCAAGAATACTGCAGGGATGTAAATGTGGAAATATAGATAGAACAGGTAATGAAAAGATTTTGCTGTTGAGGATGTGGATTGGTAATATTGTTCTTTCTGTGCACCTAATATAAATAACTAGAGCTTGAGAACTGTTTGGCTCTGGATTATTTGGGACACTTAACAAATACTAATATTCTTTATTCTAACATACAATTATTAGTTTTCCCGTTAAAATTCAGCATCCCGAAAAGCCGTGCAAATGATTCCCTGTGTGAGGAAATGCCCACCCCCACTCACATCTCCTGGGAGAAGGGGAAAAAACTGAAGGCAGGCAAAAAGACTCATGCATGAAATAATGACCGCTTCATAGGGTAAGGAAAAAAAGCTGTGTATGCAAGCAAAGGAAAATAAGAAACTTATTAACTACCTCCCCATCAGCAGGCAGATGTTTAGCCACTTTCCTGGAAAGCAGGGTCTCGGTATATGAAATAGTTGCTTGGGAAGTCAAAGACCATAACCACAAACTCCGCCCCCTCCCCCTTTCCCTGAGCTTTCATTTCTGAGCATGATCTCGTATGGTAAGGAATATCCCTCTGGTCAGTTCAGCTCAGCTGTCCTGGCTATCTCCTCTCCCAACCTTTTGCCTACCGCCAGCCTACTGGTCTTTCTGAGGGGCAGTTGGAAAGAAATCCTTAATGCTGTGCAAGCACTGTTCAGCAATAGCCAAAACATTGCTGTGTTATCAACACCGTTTTAGCCACCATTGCAAAGCACAGCATTGTACAGGCTGCGATGAAGTTAACTCCATCCCAGACAGATCAAGTACAATCTTCTCCCTTTGTTGAATACCATTTGCAGCACGCTTAGGTTCCACATTATCAGATACATCTAAGTGTCCTCTGACCATCTTGTTCTATCTGTTTCTTATTTCCGAAATCCCCTCTGCTCTTTCCAGAGGTCTGCATCTCTCACAATAGTCCAGATGTGGGCTCACCACTGTTAAGCAGAGGGGAAGGATCACCTCCCTCAGCCTGCTGCCCACACTCCCCCTAATGCAGCCCAGGATACCGTTAGCCACCTTTGCCACAAGGGCTCGTTACTGGCTCATGTTCAACTTGATGTCCACCAGGAACCTCATGTCCTTTTCTGCCAAGCTGCTTTCCAGCTGGCTGGCCTCCAGCATATGCTGGTGCCTGGGGTGGTTCCTCCCCAGGTGCAGGACTGTGCACTTCCCATTGTTCAATTCATGAGGTTCCTGTCAGCCCATTTCTTCCGCCTGTCGGGGTCCATCTGGGTGGCAGCATGATCCTCTGGTGTGTCAGTCACTGCACCCATTTTGTGTCATCAGTAAATTTGCCGAGGCTGGTTACTGGTCTCTCACTAGGCTTTGTGCCGCTGATCACAACCCTCTGGGCCCAACTGTTCATCCAGTTTTCAAACTCATATAGGACTATTAAAGGGTGAGTGAGCCTTGCTGTTCACTCCCTGGCTGTCCAATGGGTGGACTAACTGACGGATGGAGCCAGGAAGTCTGTGTTGCTGCAATGCCGTGGCTGCAGCAGCCCTTTGGAGCTTTATGTCCTTACACACCCCGCAGCACAGGGATCCTCTGAGAGGCCAGACAAGTTATACAGCTCTTCACCCACAGTAGGTACACCAAAGGCCCACCAGTACCCTGTTGGGTCCTTGAAGAACCTAACCTCTCTTGAGAGGCAATAAGGCTATCTAACAGCCTGCTGCTGCCAAAAAAGGCAAAGCTGCTCTCGTTTCCCTGCAGCCCACTCCCAGCTCTGTATCCCCATGCATCTTGCTCCCTGAGCAAACAGTGCTCTGCTAGTTGAGCAGACTGAATTGACTGTGGGGGAAACCCAAAGGAAAGCAGCAGTGATAGGCAGAGAAGACCTCGCCTTTAGAAGGCTGTAATAGCAGAGACCTACTGAAGGAAGTAGAAATACAGTGACTGAACTGAAACAGAATTTCAGTCACCACAAAAGCATGCTCATCAACAGAAAGCAATAGTAGTTTGTAAAGGTTTCCACCTTACGAAAGAAAGGGCTTGTTACAGCTTAAAAATACTATATAGAAGTTGAAAGAGACAGAGAGGGAGAATTTTTTTAAAGTGACTTTTGTTGTGTATTTCTTTTAAAAAGTAAAATATAATTTGTATCTCTAGGAAAAACTGAATGAGCAGCTGGAAGAACAGCGGCAAGAGCAGGCTCTTCAAAGGTACCGTTGCGAAGCTGATGAGCTTGACCACTGGCTACTCAATACCCGAGCAACACTGGACACCACTCTGGTTACTGCTGAGGAACCTATGGATATGGAAGCACAGCTGGTAGACTGCCAGGTAAAATTATCAGTCCTGTAAGATTTAGGTGAACAGGATGGACATAGCTTTATCTGAATTTAGAGGTAAATATTGGAGCATTAATGTTAAGACTATTATTGAGTAGGAGGACACAGCATATTGGTGGGGAAGAAGTTTCTGAGCTCCTTAGCACCTCATATATGTTCAGCTAGCTTCATCAATGATTTGTGAAATAAAACATAGACTGTTCTTAATTTCTTATTAAAGATTGCAAACAGTGCTTTAGAAAGTACACGTAAACATAGCAGTAGCAAAATGAGATATCCTGACTGCAAGAACATTTGAAGGTCTACAGCTTTCAGAGGGTATCATGTTTTGCTTTAAAGGTTTTGTATTCGCTTCACTTGCTCTTTTTGCTCCACTCAAGCTAGAGCTGTTGAACAGCTCACTTGACAAGTATGAAAACACCTGCAGTGGACTTTCCTACTCCTCCTTTTCCAGCTGAAGAGCACACTCCCACTAGCAGTCATGACTGGGACAGTGTTGTGTTTTCTTCAGGAGTAATCTTTGCTCACGTTCAAAAAGTAAAGTATAATCATCAGTAGTTACTATTTTTATGAAATTAATATTAATCAACCCAGAATACCAAAACAACTGAAGAAAAATATTTTGCTGCTGTAGGATTAATTGCATCTACTTTTATTAACAAGGCTTGGATCAGTTGTAACATCCAGGTTCTCAAATTAGTGGGAGTTTTCCATTTTTAAATGAGAGCTTAGAACTGTATGATCATTATAATTAAAATTACAAAAATGACAAAAGCCAGATGGACAAAAGATCCCTTTTCGTATTAAAGAATGAGGATCTCTGCCATTTTAGGATAAATGGGAGTTAAGTTTTTTATAAGTCCCAATTAATTAAACATCCAGTTACATTTCTACTGACACCACTTTATTATTGGAATTTTCAGTCTGCTCAGTCTCAAGTGTTCTTTCATCACTTGTCCTTGGGAGCTGTTTGTTGTAGATAGATAAACCCTGTGAACTTAAACAAAGCAGTATTTTTTCTCAAGGTAATCTGTAATAAACTCAAAAAGAACAGTTAACTTTGTGGAAAAGTTCATACTGTTCTTTTGCTGGATCTTAAAATCTTAATACAGTAAGCTTTATATGAAGTCCTGTATTTTTTCCACATTTTCGAGACTGCCCATCTTATACTGCACACATTACTTCAGGAACAATATTTGTAAGTTTATACTTGATGGTTGCTATGGAAACAAAAACATTTGATGTCAGGCTGGGTTTTTGATCAAGAATTGTATGAGTTTTGAGTTTGGAAACTTGAAATATGCACTATATGTGTAATACATGAATGGTTAATAAAATGTCAGGAAAGTAGCTTTTGAGAATAAACATGCCAGAGATTTGTCACTTTAAGTCTCTCTTTAGACTAAAGAGGATTATACAGAAATCCTTAAGTCCATCATGCACCAATCAGAAAGAGCAAATAGTGAGAAGAGCAGCTTATCAACACAGCCAGAGCAACACATACGAGGAGACAGGAGGCATTTCACTAAATGCACATGAGAGAAGAGGAAAGAAGTAACTCCAGCTGCATGTTCTGTTTCTTGTCATTATGGATGTCAGTCTGGCATCTTAGCCACCCTTACCTTTAATGTGCAAATAAAGAACATCTCCTCTACATCAAATAATTTGTTTCAAATAACTTTTTAATTTCCTATTTTGGAAAAGGTTGCAAACAGAAATGGCAAATGCAAACATTTGCAAATATATTCCTAAGGACTCTGAAAGGGACTGGAAGACAAAGCAATGACAATCTGACTTGCCCTTAGCTTGGCGACGGGTGAGGTAGGCCACAGATCGTCTTGCCAGAAAGGTGACAGATGCTGGAAAATGTATGAATTTGGTTCTTTGTTTTTGCTGCTGCAGAACATGCTGGTTGAAATAGAGCAGAAGGTGGTAGCCTTGTCAGAGTTGTCTGTGCACAACGAGAACTTGCTTATGGAGGGGAAGGCTCACACCAAGGACGAGGCAGAGCAGCTGGCTGTGAAGCTCAGGACGCTGAAGGGCAGCCTTCTGGAGCTGCAGAGAGTGCTCCACGACAAACAGATCAACATTCGGGTAAGTGGCTCTTTCCAACTGGCTTCACAGAGGGCAGAAGGTTGGGGGATTTCATAGCAGTTTTATGCAACTGGGAAAAGGACTAAAAATATTTAGTTCGAGCTATTCATCTTTAGTTAGTAAATGGAATTGCACTTTAAAATAAAGAACTGCCTAGCAAGCTGTAGCTTATCATTTTCAAGTTAACAGCACCACTTCATGGTGAAACTATCCTAACCTCACTGTCTTCACTGAAAGGACAATAATAAACTAGATAGATCATTATCTTGGTCTGGATATACTCTGTTCTTGTTCCCAGTCCCTTTAAATTACGTGTTCTCTACTCATGGGCAGGATTTCCCTCAAAAACTGAACAAACCTAAAAATATGCTTTTCTCCATACAGTGTGCACAACACAATGAACAGATGCCATCAAGATAATGAAATATTTTTAAATACGGCTAATGCTTAGTGGCATCACTACACCAAATAAAATATTATATAAACAAAGATACACTTAACCTCGGTCTTGTCCTAGGTTTCTATTCTTAGCATCATTGGTCTGCTTGTTGCCACTAGTTCATTTTATTTAATGATTGGTTTTGGTCATTCTTTAGGTTAAACTAACATGTGGAGAACTGAATACATACAAGAAACCCAACCACGTAATGTGACTGACTGGTTTTGAATATGCTTGCCCTGCTGTGACTCCCTCCCCTGCCTTTTCTTTTACTTCTTTTCTGGGCTTTGCTGAGCAAATTAAACACGATAAGCTTCAAAGATTTCTAGCTTGTAATGCAGATTAAAGTCTATGAGAGGTTAGCTTGAAAAGTCACTTGACATGCTGAGAACTATTTTTAGTCTAAAGCAACTGGATAACTATAAAACTTAACATAGCTTCACAAAAGAACCCCAACAAACAAACAAAAAAAAAAAAGGAGGAAAAAACTCAGATATTTGTTCTTATTGCCTCTAAGATTAAATAATTTTGGTGTTATTATTTCATATTAAACCTCGTGATTAAGCAACTGAAAAGTGTTATCAATAGCATGTAGGCATATAATACTATATTCTGATATATCACTTGTGAAGTGAAAAGGCATTACAGACTCTTGCTACATTTAAAATGTGCTGCATTTTTAAAGTACAATGGTGTGATTTAAGTTATATAAAAGGGATTTTTTGATGCTTTTCTAATATCAAAAATAAAAATAAAATAATTTCCGGATGTAGAATATGAATCATTTAAGATGCTACATGCATGCAAGACTTCAGTTTCTTCATAAATTGCAAACTTATTTTGGACTTCACTAATGTATTGTGGAAGAAAATAAGTATAGGCAGTCTAACACCTTCAGATTTTCATTGAGCAATTTTTTTCAAATGAGAAATTCTGTAATGTCTTTTTCCAAACAATCAGGCAGAAAGTATTTCTTTTGGACTGAGGCTCAGAGCACCAGATGCCCAAAAATGCACTCACTCTATCTTCTGCCATTATTAATCCTGAGAAACATGACATGCTAACAGCATTGTTGCTCATTCATGTACGAAACTCGGACTTATACATGTCTCTAGATGTATTGATAACCTTGTAGTTGCACAGAGGTGTAGACCAGCCTGCACACAGAAAAGGAGGGATCCTCCTAAGCTGCAGTTGCACTGCAAGACCAAGAGCAGTGTAAAGACTGAGCTATATTTTCTTTAAAGCGATATTTCAGCGTGTCTGTTATTCCTATGACGCAAGGTTTTCTGGAAGCCAGTGTAAAATTCTGTGATATCCTTGCATCAATTTCAGTTTTCCTCCTAATTTTAATTAATAAATGTCACTAATTATATGGAAAAAGTGATTTGGAGACCAGCTTCTTTATTCATAAAATAGAGAAGGGAAACTAATCAGAAGTGTGCTGGATCAGGAGAGTTCTAGAGTGCATTGATTCTAAATGTAGAATTTTTCAAGCACTTTGAAAGATATACATAACATTGCCTTATTACTGTTATCTACTAACTTCTGTGACTTAGGAGAAACAAAAATAAATAAAATCCTAATAAAACAAGGTAGTAGAATGTATTCTGCAGTAAAAAAAAAACAGATAGTGTTTCTTCACTGTTTATTACAAAGTGTGTGTGTCGGAGGGATGACTTCAGTTTCACAAGACAAAGATGCCAGATATAAGTTTGTACGATTCTGAACTCCTTTGAGAGATCAATTTTATCATCATTTCTTGAGAGATTTCCCAATTATTTCTGTACTGGAGTGGATGGTCCCCAGGAATGACAGCTTAAAGCATTTATTTCCCTGGCTTTTTGAGGGAAATGTAATACAGTTCGTTAAGACAGAATTCAAATGAAAATGCAAGTGTGTTTTTCAAACTTATATTCTGTGGTTTGAGAACAATAAAATCTAGTTCACAAATAATTTTGATCTAAAAATTACGCACAATAACATATTTGCAAAACCTCATTGCATCCACAAATTCCACAATCCCTTTTACACTCTTTGCCATTGCAGGAACTGTGAGACTACTATTTATTTGTCTTAGTATAACTTCAAAATTGTAGCTTCCCAACCCTCTTCCCAGAGAAGAGGAGACTCAAACCCTAGCTGACATCAGTCTGTCCAAATGCAATGAAGAACTAGATAGTATTCTCTACAGGAATTTATGTGTTGAACAGCTATTGTCCCTCGAGCATATGAAAGCAAGCAGGTTTTTTTTTTTATATAACTTACAGAAAAATTGTTTGTTTTTCTCATTTTTAATAGAAAACTTAAAATTCTAGACCCTCTTTATTCCTTACTTAATATTTTCTTTGCCAGATCTGATATCCTACAATGATATTGTTCACACTCACCACATCAGCTTTTCTAGAAACTTGTTCCTACAAAGTGAAGTATCACAGTTTACCTGCAAACTGAATCCTTAATGAAACAAGGCTATTTCAGAGATCAAGGGCTAGTGGTGCTTTCCAGCTCTAGACACCTGCTTGCTTGTTTTGCTCCTCTTACAGTCTATATCGTCTAACACTGATCAGTCCTTTCAACTCCAGTACACTTATCATCCCCCTAGAACTGAAATCTTACACTTTAACTTCTACTATTTAGCAAAACTCCACTGTTTCAGTGCCTGATGCCAGGGACACTGATGGAAGAGGTCCATCCTAGTTGGTAGGATAAGGGGCACCAGGTGAGGCAAGAGGAATTCCCTCCACCACCTGTGGAGGCTGTCTCAAGGAGGGGGCTGGTCCCTGCCTGATTTGAGACAAAGGTTCTCTGGAGGGTGGAACGTGTTTTTGTTTTGGAGATCCTGCTGTAAAGTCTGAATAATTTGGTGCTCTTACTCTATTTAGAAGAAGAGCTAGATCATGGGCAAAATGTGAATCCTACAAAAATGAGGTACATAAACAAAATGGGAGAGGAATTAAGCCCCGGATTTAGCTCTTGCAGCTTAAAAAAATAGAAGGCACAAACTCCACAGTCATCATGTTCATGCAAGTAACATGAAATAAATCCAGAGATGTGTGTAGATCTAAGTAGTCAGACCTACAACAAGTCGGTCTTTAACGTTAGGCTTGGTGTGTTAAAATCCCTGCATTTGAATATGTTGGCTGCTAAAATAGTTTAAGTTTACAGCCAACATGAATTTCAGAAGTCTAGAAATTGATAAAGCAGTTTTTGGAGCTATTAAGGCATTTGCTCTTTTTTGCTTTGCTTGCACAGAAGGTCTGTTTAGTCACCCATGCTGCGAAAACATACCTACAGAAGTATGAAGTGAAGGGACTGTTGCTTTTGCTGTTCTATTATAACATTCTGTAGTACGGTCTCTGTTACTGTCTTTACTCTTCATATCATATAATCTGCTGTTAACTGACTGTGTTTCTGCCAACCACGGATAGAGTTATGTACTTATTGATAAATAAATTTTGACCAGAATGACAACTAGCATTCTCTCATTTCTAGTCAGACAAAAAAATTGTATTAATTAGATTAAAAATCTGGCAGCAACAATCTGTTGATTCCCTGCGTTGCCAGTTAAAGCTGCACTCTCCATTGCAGAGCAGTCTTCAGAAACACGTCAGTCCATTATCTCTGATCTCTGGTGTCTGATTCTGCTAAGTGTGGTGGTGCGTGTTTATTTTTACATTTTTACGGATGCTTTCTTCCTGGTAACCAATGACCAGTAGAAGTCAGAAATCTGAAGTCACTGCTCGCTTCAGAGTTTATGTGAGCCAGCAGCTTGAGAGGTGGAAGGTGGCACTACATGTTGTTTTGAGTTGATGAGCTGGACCTGCCAGCTCTCTAGCAATATAAGAGAGTTTGTAAAATCTGTATTTCTTTCTTTTAAAGCAGGGATCATTACAAGAAAAGGAGGAGAGTGACCTGGACTTTGTTTCCTCACAGAGCCCCAGCGTCCAAGAATGGCTGCAACAAGCAAGAAACACTCGCTCACAGCAGCAGCAGAGCACCCTGCAGCAACAGAAAGTTGGTGTTTTGCATTTGTTTTACTCCCATCTTTAGATTGTTCTTAACACTGTAGCTGAGCTGTTCTTTTTAACAATTCCACTGAAATCTTCATTTTTACACTGTTTCTTACTCAGTGCTCTTGTAATGATGTATCTGAGCTCACTGTTTTATATCTGTAACAGCCAAGCAGACTAAACTTCCTGAGTGACTACGGTCAACTCACTTAATCACTCTATACTTCCATTGCACAGTAGTAAAATTTAATTGAATCAACCCTTAAAGTTATTGTAAGCAGATGACAGTATTTATTCAAATCAACATGGTCTATTTTATAGAAGCAGATATACAGATTACAACCTATATTGTGTTGCATGATACACAGACATGCTCGCTAGGTTAGGTTCCAGAAACTGCATTGCATTAGTCAATTAGTTCAACAATCCAGTGTATGTACCCAATATTACTGTGTCCCTGGGTGGAGATTTTGCATTGCTTCTGGTGCTCAGGCAAGCCATATCAGAAATAGTTCAGCTATCTTTGCATGACAGTTATGCAGTGTAGACATATCCTTCCAAGGCAAAAACAATCTGTTTGAGGTTTGTTTTGGTTTTTATAACTTGCTATGCTAGGAGCTGGAACAAGAGCTGGAAGAGCAGAAGAATCTGCTTCGGTCAGTGGCATGCCGTGGAGAAGAAATCCTAACACAGCAAGGTGCTCCAGAAGGCCTATGTATAAGGTGTGCTTTCATGTGATGTTCTACATAGTAAATTTCTATGACTTGGTGCTTTGTCATCCTTATGTTTACATCCGTCTTCTGCATATAAACCCCTAATTTTTGTTTTATCATTTTTATACAGCACCAAGGATACTGGAGTTATAATTCAGGAGTCTGATAATATAGCTACACAAACTGTTTCTGTAGAATCCTAAATTGGTTTGGGCTGGAAGGGACCTTATAGATCCACTAGTTCCAACCCACCTGCCACGGACAGGGACACCTTCGAATAGACCAGGTTGCTCAAAGCCCCATCCAGCCTGGCCCTGGACGCTGCCAGGATGGGTGCATCCGCAGCTTCTCTGGGCAACCTGTGCCAGTGCCTCACCACCCTCAGAGTAAAGAATTTCCTTCTTATATCTAATCTAAATCTACCCTCTTTCAGTTTAAAGCCATTACCACTTGTCCTATCACTACAGGCACTTGTAAAAAGTCCCTCTGCAGCTTTCTTGTAGGCCCCCTTCAGGTACTGGATAGCTGCTGTAAGGTCCCCCTGGAGCCTCCTTTTCTCCAGGCTGAACAGCCCCAACTCTCTCAGCCTTTTCTTGTAGCGGAGGTGTTCCAGCCTAAGAGATCACCTTTGGCATTTAGAAATTCCTTTTATTCTTATTATCAAGCATTACACTAAAATTACAAACTAGTCGGATTCATTAGACAAACAGTGGGTCAGTTACTATACCTTTATGGTCCAGCATTGGTGTGTGAATCATAGCTGATCTCTAAAACATTGTAGTCCGCCATTGTAACCGTATCTTCCCAGATGAAACTCTCATTACTTAATTTTATTTTTCCTGCAGTTAGTGAATGTTTTTCTTTCTGAAGCCTTGTGTATTTCGAATTTCATCTCTGGTCTATGTTTTCTTGCATACTTGCCCATTAGTGGGAAGTAGATGTCTATAAAAGCCTTGGCTCTGGCTGGAGAGACTCCTGCCCTAGCAAAGGCAGAAGAAAACAACTGCCTACTGCTGATGCGGACCTTGAGGAAGCAGGAAGAGCCAGGTTGTGGGAAGGGGAAACCAGGGTTAACATTATCATCTTGAGAATCAAGGGGCAGACAATCCTTTGGTTAAAATACTGTGTTGATGTATCTCAGTAGTAGTGAGCACCTTTCTGGCTCCTCCAGCGTGCCAAAAGTCTAGAACATGAAGGCGTGAGGCAGAAGATCCAAGACTCATGCATAGGGAATGTAAGCTCTACTCAGTAAATTCTTTTCCTCAACAGTTGTGTAAATTCAATGTGGTTTTTTATTATAATGCCAGAAAGTACATAATTTATCTCATTCTTTTTGAGGCTTATTTCTGTCTCAACACATTATACTATAGAAACAAACAAAAAAATCAAACAAGAAATGCGTAACTTCATTCACTATTTACCAAAGCTAAACCCATATCCTTGTCTTGCATTAAAATATCAGGGTATGTCTGGCAATTTGAGAGGGCAGGTGAGGAAGGAGTCAGATAATTTTTTTTTTTAATTTCATACTTTGAAGTAAAGCTTGTATAAAGGTTACTTTTCAATGTAGTATATATTCAGTCTGTTTTGTGGGTTCTTACTTAGTATTAGTACCTGCTAGTCTAAACAATTTCTTAGAAAGTACATTTTATCCCATCAGTCAAGAATTTCTTGCAGTTACAAACCAGTATTTGTCTTACTATCTGCAAAAAAACCCCAAACAGTAAAGGCTTTAAAAAGTAGCAATTTAAATGTAGAATTTCCTAACTGAAAGAGAAAATAAACATCTTATGCTGTTACAACTTTTGTATTTGTTAAACCTTTATGTATCTTGCCATTTAGTGAGAAGCCTGATAAACTCTCTGAGGAATTAGGCTTGGAAGGTGAGAAGCAATCATCTGAAGGACAGATGAAGATGAAATGGGAAACCCTGAACCAGGAATTCAATACCAAGCAGAAACTGCTCCAGAAAGCTTTGGAACAAGAACAGTTGGTAGCTATATTTAATTTCTCTTTGCATTTTCTCTATGAAAGCAGTTGTCACAACACGAGATACAGTATGTGCATAGCAGATGCATTAAGGTGATGTAGTTAATGCAAAGAATATGGAACAATTTGTTTTTGTGACATCTTTAAAAACTATGAAGTATTGGCACTCGCATTGCTTTTGTTTAAAAATTGTTTGAATTGCACTACCATTCAATTGAATAAGCAAGAAAAGACAAAAGGGCTCAAACAAAATTTTTATCTACTTGTCTAACCCAGGATAATTCTATAACGAATCATCTCTCTGAAATTGACCAGTACTCTGGCGACAACTTAGAGGAAAAACTGATATTTGCAGTTTGAATTTATTGACTACATTCAATTCTTGGTCTTAGTGAGTATGTGACAAGGAAGCAAGTGATTTCAGCACAGAATTTTTACTGAAAGAAGAACGTACTAATCAACTGAAGTGGGAACAGTCAAAGATCTATATTAATGTACATCCTCCATTTTATTTTGAATAGACCCAGACCCACTATTCTTTATATAATACTACATTAAAATTAGCTTCCAAAGTTCTAAATATATTGTATTAATTTCACAGTAATTAATTATTTTGTTGGTAAAAACAGGTCATTGCTAATTCTGGCCAGAAGTATTTATTCTGTATTTCTAGTGAACCGTCTGTTGAGCAATCTTTTGTTCAAGATGTTCATGACAAAACAGTCATGGGAGGGCCATGAGCATTGTATGGCGATATCCTAAGTCAGTCGTAGAATCAGTACAGCTGAATTTTGTGCCCTATACGTGTGGTAGAAGCACTCTAATTAGTACTTCCCTCTCAGCAGCTTTATAGCAGACCAAACAGACTGCTATCTGGAATGCCTTTGTATAAGGAGGAAGGACAGGATGAGGATAAATCCTCAGTGTCACCAGTATTGGTTGAATTGAATCAGGCCTTTGAAGATGTGTCATCTGAGGTAACGTTTCAATTGTCTTTACATCTGTCTTCCAGCAGAGGCACATTTACAATGAAAACTCCTCTAGCTCCCACTTGGAAATCCAGCCCTTCCCCAAATATTAGCAGTGAGAAAGAGTATCTTGTACTTCTGCCTGAGACTTCTCTGGTTGCTTTTGCCCAGGCTGGACGGGTGGAGGAGAGCCAGCATCTTGAACAAAAGCTGTATGATAGTGTCGCAGCCACCTCCTTGTGGCTAGATGGTGTGGAAGAACAGGTCTTTGTTGCTACAGCTCTGTTGCCAGAGGAAGAAACAGAAACATACCTCTGCAAGCAAGAGGTAAGGAATCCATGAATAGGACTTTCTTTAAATTTCCAGTAAGGGTGCATTTTATGTAGTGTTTAGAAAAAAAATATTAGAATCCTAGGTAAGTGACATGTTGCTGTCATAAATACTGTGTAATTGCAGTATTCTGCTACTGTTTGGAATTAACTTTATTCAGTGTAGAGAATTGTGGTGGGTTGACCCTGGATGGACAGCAGGTACCCACCAAAGCCGCTCTGTCAATCCCCTCCTCTGCTGGACAGGGGAGAGAAAATATGACAAAAGACTCGTGGGTCAAGATAAGGACAGGGAGATATCACTCACCAATTACCATCATAGGCAAAACAGACCCAACTTGGAGAAATCAGTTTAATTTTATTGCCAATCAAAATCACAGTAGGATAATGAGAAATAAAAACTAAATCTTAATACACCTTTCCCCCAGCCCTCCCTTCTTCGCAGGCTAAACTTTACTCTGAAGTTGTCTACTTCCTTCTCCCCAGTGGCGCAGGGGGATGGGGAATGGGGATTGCGGTCAGTTGGTCACACATTGTCTCTGCTGCTACTTCCTCCTCACACTGTTCCCCTGCTCCAGCATGGGGAGAGAGTCATGTCACCCATGGGAGACAGTCCTCCACGAACTGCTCCAGCATGAGTCCTTCTCATGGGCTGCAGTTCTTTCATGAGCTGCTCCAGAGTGGGTCTTTTCCATGAGGAACAGACTGCTCCAGAGCGGGCTCTCCACAGTGTCACAGCCTCCTTCAGGCATCCACCTGCTCTGGTGTGGGGTCCTCCACGGACTGCAGGTGGAGATCTGCTCCACCGTGGACCTCCATTGGCTGCAGGGGGACAGCCTGCCTCCCCCTGGTCTTTTCCATTGGCCAGGGGAATCTCTGCTTCGGCGCCTGGAGCACCTCCTCCCGCTCCTTCTGCACTGCCTTTGGTGTCTGCAGAGTTGTTTCTCTCACATCTTCTCACTCCTCTCTCCAGCTGCAGTTGTGCAGGTTTTTTTTTGACCCCCACTTCTTAACTATGTTATCACAGAAGAGCTCCCACCCTCACTGATGGGCTTGGCCTTGGCCAGCGGCGGATCCGTCCTGGAGCCGGCTGGCGCTGGCTCTTTTGGACATAGGGGAAGATTCTGGCAGCTTCTCACAGAAGTCACCCCAGTAGCCCCTCTCCCACTACCAAAACCTTGCCACGAAAAAACAGTACAAGGATGTTATAGAAAGCAGCACCTGACCTGAAATTTTGCTGGTCAAAAGAGAATTAAACATAGAGTCTTTTTTCTGTTGAATTTCTTTGTTAAGTATTAGGAAATGCCACAGTGTTGAAATTGAAATGAACTGAAAAAGGGAGAGGAATCTGGGATATGGAAACAGTACAAATTCAGCAACATGAAATGGAGAGGGAAGGAAGGGAGTGAAAAAAGGAGAGAAGAAGGGAAAAATACTTTTTCAGCAGCTACATGAATTTCTGCTTCACGAAGTCCTTGTTCGGGCAGGTTCATTTTGTTTCAGAACTTTTTTTCCTCAGAGCAATCTGAGTCCTAGATTTTTTTATTATCAGAAATAGTGTAGTGCATAACTTTGTTTAGTGTGTGTGTATTGACAATGTAAAAAAGTCACTGCATCACTGCAAAATGGACAATGGTTATGGCAATGTGTTTGCCTGCTTTCTAGAATGTCTAATTGTCACTGTTTTGTTTTCTACAAAATCAGTCTCTTGCTAAAGAAATCAAAGAGATAACAGAAGAAATGGATAAGAACAAGAATTTATTTGCTCAGATATTTCCTGAGAATGGTGATAACAGGGACATAATAGAAGACACTTTGGAGTGTCTCCTGAGAAGACTGAGCCTGCTGGAGTCAGTAGTAAACCAGAGATGTCATCAGATGAAAGGAAGGCTCCAGCAAATAGTGACTTTCAAGGTATGTTTCCCAGCTGAAGGAATTAACAGGGGTATATGTCAAATGGGGATATAAAGGATGTGATTCTCAAAGCAATGAATGTTTTTGGAACCAAATCAAGAGAACAAGTTTTCACAGGTTTTTACTGAAAATCAAACAACTTCTTAGGCTATGCAATACTTAGCACCCAAATCATGATCCAAAATTTAAGCTGTCTGCTAGAAGCCTTCTGCAACTCACGCAATTATTATAGAAGTGATCATTTATCCCACATTTTCTCACCCTGCTGGCATTGCAATAAATGGAAGTTGTTGACTCCTCAAGGGAGAAAAAGCAACCTTAGAGTTTCACTTTACACATTTTATGACTTCATAAATGGTAGAATACACAGTTATTATTAGCTGTGGTAAAATACAAAACATAATACTGATTCCCACCTTTCTGATCATCTTTAAGCCATCCCATTACTCTATAAGGGCTTGCATCTCAAGCTTTCTGTATTGAGCAAAGCAGAAAAAATGAAGAGAAGTGGAGAAGTGTTTGCTTTTAGAAATCTTTTTGACCAGAGTTCAGAAATGCTTTCAGACCTTACTTGGTCTCTGCCTTCTCTCCTATTCTTATCATATAAAACCTCCAGTATGGTTGATTTTTAATGAAAAAAACATAAATTCCAGCAAAAAAAATTAGAAAATAGACTGTTGGTGTCTTTAGACTAGGATCATCATTTCATATGTTGTTACTATGAGATTTCTTTCCACACTTCATAACCTTTCTTCTGCAGTAGATAGGAAAAAAAATAATTTCAATGGTTTTCAGTAGAAGGCCTTCCTTTGCTGAAGAAAGGATACAAGCTGATTAGAATCCTGTGCCTTGTTGTTATTGCAGAGATATCTAATATTTAAAAGAATTACTGAATGAAAAAAAAAAATCTGAAACACACTGCTATCTAATGCTAGAAGTCTTAGAGCAATGTGCTGATTATTTTCTGTTTTACCAGTGTTAGGAGTTTTGTTGGAATGAATGCATGAAAAAAAAATTGTTTGTTAAGTAATAACAATTAATAATAACTATATTAATAATTTTTAAGTAATAACATGTGTCTTAGTAAAAGTTGTAATGTGTAGTTAGCCCTGTAATGTGTTGAAGCCTTGTTTACTTTTTATTTGCTAAAGTTTGTAATGAAAAAGCTTCCCTTAAAAATTAAAGCCTAACTTGTTTACAGGCATATGTGATTGAATAAACTACGCAAGAACAATGTATTTATGTTAAATGAAGTCAATGGACCCTTGCTAAATAATTATCTAATTGGAAGGCAGAAGTAGAAGTGTGTTCACAGGTAGTGTTTTGAAAAGGAGTTGGTTTAGCTTTTTCTCATATATATCCAGTATGAATTTTCAGTAATCTTGCATGTTTTGCATTGGATAATTATGGTGCTTGCAACGTTGAATAGTTTTTATGCCTTTGTGCTAACATTGTAACATTGTGATGCTTTAAACTTTTTGGGAGCTAAAATATTTTTCAGTTGGTTTGTGCTGTGATTTGCTATAGTTTGTTGTTGTTGTTGTCTCCTGTAGAATGATCTGAAGCTCCTGTTTACATCAGTGGCTGATAACAAATACTTAGTTCTACAAAAACTAGCAGAGGCAGCTGAGAGACCAGAAACAGAACAAATGCAGGTATTACCAAATGTCTATTACTTCGGTGAGGGGGAGGGAAGAGATAAAGTTTCTATTCAAGGTATAACTGGATTCTAGAGAAGAGCTGCTTTTTGTGGGAGAATGTATCTGTTCACATAAAGTATGGGAAAATGTATACTTCCAAGAGTATACTACATATCTTTATAAATTAAAAATAAATAAACACAAGGCCTCTTTCCTATCTCCCCAGGTAACCTAGTTATGCACATGCTGTGCCCTATTTGAAAGAAAGAAAACTTAAATGAACCAAGAAAAGTTTAAAATTTGGCTAGACTGTTTTGCTATTGCACTTTATTGAAAACCACAGGCACTTTCTTCTGCACTGATTTATAGTAATATCTGGACTGTTATTCATTTTAATTTAAGGCAATAATTGTTTTTTCTTTATCAGGAGTTGCCTGATGAATAACTAATTAATAATATGAAAAAATACAGCCTGTTTCCTTGTTTCTGTTTTGCCAATGAGAAAAGTGAATGAAGTATGTTAAGGGCTACTTTCTACAGACGTTTCTTGTTACCCAAGAGCTACTGTTGTCCAGTTCCAGCAGTGACTCTTCCTTCCAGAGGAAGAGACTTATCCTTCAGCTAAACAAAAATACTGGGTTTTATATATCTGATAAGTTTTGAAGGAATTTTAATTCACGTATGAGTAAGACAGTTGACAATCTGTGTCTTCCTTTCCTGTCTTCCATAATGTGAAAGACTGGTAAAAATTTAGTTCCTATATGATTAATTTAACTACCAAATAGGAAAATAACATGATAACAAAAACTACTGAGTTGATTTTTTTTCTTAATGTCTACTTTGGCTTGTAAAACATTCAAATTTAAAAGCATTGCTGTTGCTCGAGTCGTGATTGGGAAAGTAGAAATAAGGCCCTGAATCAGCTCGGTAACTTAGCTGCATGAAGTGTAAGTTTAGTGGCTGTATTATGCATACTTTGCACTACTAGGAGTTGACTCACATATACAGTTTAAGCATTTGGATATGCAGTTTTGAAGAAAGGGCCTTAACAAAGGGCTTTAACTACAGGAGTCTATCTTGTGCTTTTAATTTTTTTTAGCTTGTATACATTAAATCAGCAGAAACGCCTAGGTTGAAAGACCTTGTTTCCTGCAGCTTCCATTGAAAAAAGTCACATTATCACCTGCATACGCTTGCAAATACCAAGCCGCGTGCTTTCACTTTTCATTTTCCAAGTATAAAAGGGGATGGGCAAGTCCGTTTCCTGGAGAGTAATTTTGGCCCTATCCTAGGCCTGTACAGGAACTGTGCACAGCTCTTTGCTATCGTGCATGTCTTTTGCTGTGATGGTTGTTTGCTTGGTGCTCAGATATGACACCAATGAGGGTTAATAAAAACAGTGCTTAAAAAGAGGGTATTAGAACAATAGTTCTTTCATGCCTGTACCACATAATTAAAAGCGTGGAACTTCATAGTTAGTGTTGTATGATACAGTGTATGATAATAAACCAGTTTGTTATTAAAAAAATAATAATGCCATATTATATTTAACTAACAAGCTGGCTCTCCCAATTTTGAATTAGTGGTTTTTCTTTATAGTATCCTTTAAAAATTCAGCAGACTGAAGGACTTCAGGCAGAAAACAGAAAAGAATGTTACTGTACAGTACTGTTTTTAAACCTTCAAACTAAATGATGTACTTTTCAAATACAGATCATACTGCAGTCAGAAGAAGATTTGAGCAAATTAGATATTGGAATCAGTGAATTAAAGAAGCGTGTAGACAAGCTACAAATTGACCAACCTTCTGTGCAAGAGCTCTCTAAGATCCAGGTATGGTTCTTAAGTTCCATCCTAGTCCTGTCTGGTGATACCAAAGGTGTTAGTATGCTCCTTTTTACTGTTCATAAGGCAGTTTAGGGAAGCATATTTAAAAGCATTTCAGTGTGTGTAAAAGACTTTTCTCCCTGATTTACCTAGTTTTTCTACTTTTGCGTCTTCAGATTTTCCGACATCTCTATTATTGGTAGTATTTATCATAAAACACACAAAAACATGTTTTCTTTCAGCAGTTGTTGAGTTCCTATTCAAATAGGTAATGTTAAGCACATAAACATAAATGTCTGCTGAAGGTTGAGCCCTATTTGCACTAGTGTCTCATGATCTGGGGTTTAGTTCTCTCTCATATCCGTCATTAAAAAAATAAAAAAGGAGGGGGTGAAGGGGCATAGATAGCTAAGTGTGACCTGAAACTGGAAACGTTATCCTTTTTCTAGAACACTCCTCATGTTCCTGCATGCTTTCAGTTAGACTTGGTTTTGAAGACACCTAAGTAGTAGGACTATTAAGACTCTCTGAGGTAGATATATGTGGGCAATTGATCCAGAACTTTTATAACGCTGTTGAAATTCCTTTGTGAGCTGAGGTGGGGGAATGTTTAAGGAAAAATCAAGGAGAAGGTTTATGACTAAATTTTACCCATTTTAATGAAATAATAATAAATTGGAAGAAAAGCAAAGTTTATGGGCCATAAACTTTTTAAGCCAACAAAACAGTGATCTCAGTTAACAATGAATGACAAAGAGTTTGTGCAAATGTGTCTTTTGCCCTGTTCTTTATCCTTGTGGTCTTAGAGCCTTCTGCTTTTTTTTTTGCTATCAGATCATGCATAGATATCCCCCTCCTCATGATTTCAGTTTTTAGAAAAGCCTTCCCTTTGCTTTTTTAACAATTTTTCTTCTCATAATTGTCTCTCTAATTCTAGGACAGCCAGCTGCAGTCTGAGGGTGGGTACTTTGTTGTAGCACTGGATGCTCAGAGAAATATTTTGATTTATTAGTATCTTGTCTTGGTCAAAAGTATGGGCTTACCCTCACAGTCAGACATGTGTTCTGAGAATACAATTCTCAGAACCAAAACAGGAAAGTAATGGTGTTCAGGTGAAGAAAAGCATCTGTAGGTTGCTCTCGCTTTCATGGTCGAGGTATACAAGATGAGTAATAGCACACTGGAACTGATGAGATTCGTCCTTTTGGCTCACTTTGTAATTTGGCAGTATAGGCACACTGAATTACACACTTCACTTTTGCTACACTTTACTGTTCTATATAGAGTACATTGCTATTTTGGGCCTGGTTTGGTTTTTACTACGGGTGGTATGTACCTTGCTTCCTACCAGTAAGCTGCTGGGGCAGGAGAAGGAGACAAATTTGGCTTTGAAATGCCTGCATTCTGTAGCCATGATGGAGTCCATCCAGCCCCCTGCATTATAAGAAGCAAAATGTAAACAGGATCTGCAGTGTGCAGTAGCCACTCAGTAGTCTGGTTTTCAATGACTTAAGCCCAATCACCCTACTCCTTTGCTACTTAAAGCAAGCCTTTTGGATTCTGCTAACTTTTTTTCCCAAATGCATGCACTTGAAAGAGTTGCCGGTCTTGCTTATTTTTTCTGTCTTTAAAAGGCAAATTGTTAATTTATCAATTAAGTCAGTATATCCGCACAGTCTTTTTGAGCTGGGAATAGATGTTGTTCTTGTAGTATTCACAGAGGAATACAGGGACAGTAAGGTTGCTTATAGGATGACGTGTAAGGTGTGAAATAAGAATCACCATTGGTAGTCTTTGCCCCCAAGGATATGTATGATGAGCTGATGATGATCATTGGATCCAGACGGAGTGACCTGAATCAGAATCTGGCTCTTAAGAGACAGTATGAACGGGCTTTGCAGGACCTGGCTGACCTGTTAGAAACAGGCCAAGAAAAAACGGCTGGTGACCAGAAAATGATGGTTGCTTCTAAAAAAGAGGTTCGATCAATACTTGAAAAACATAAGGTAAGAAACTGACATATTTCAGGACTAATCATGACTATAAGCTTGTACACAGCAAATTGCTAACCTTCTGTTCCTAAAGGTTCAGGAGCGTTTCAGAATGGTGGGCCAGTATTAAATCAAGATATATTAAAACTTAGTGTATTTTAAATTGGGACCAATGAACTGTTCTGACTGAATAACTTTCAAATGCTTTGTTGAAGGTGAACCCAGGTAGATCACATTTTCTTCCTCTTTCTAATAAGTTTCTATTCTTGCCCTCTCATACTACATAGCAATTTCATCCAGCACTCCATTTTTTTTCCAGTGCAAATTTATGTTTGCTAATAGCACTCACAAAATATAACAAGACATTTTCACATTTTTTTATTAGGCAGATTTTTTTGGTGGTGTATATCCAATTTAAGCTATTTTTGTTTATGGAATGAGAGTTGGGATAGATTTTGTGTGGAAAGGATGACCCCCTTCTTTCTTTGAAAAGGCCATTGTCTTTTTTATATTGTGTGTTGGATTTTGTGAAGTGTTGGTGGAGTGAAAACTTTACCTAATTCTATGTCTATGGCTACTTGATTATACTGCTGTTGTCTTAAATGGTTGTTTTAGTGATAATGAATTGAATAACAATTGCACTTTCTCGTTTCTGTTCTCTATTTACCCTGTCCCTCACACCCACATTTCTCAGGAATATTTTCAGGGGTTGGAATCTCACATGATCCTGACAGAAACACTCTTTAGAAAGATGAGTAGCTTTGCCCTCTTGAAGGAAACTCGGTCACATTCAGAGCTAATGACACAAGCTTCAGCTGTGTTAAAGCTGGCTCATAAACGGGGTGTGGAGCTGGAATACATTCTGGAGGTGAGAATTTCTTTGGTCTATTTTGTACTGCCATTGTGGTCAACCACAAGGATATTCTGTAATGTTGATTTCCTGTGCTTGGACAGAATTAATGGACACCAGTCCCGTTTGTCATATACACAAGGCACTGGCAGACTGCGTGTAATCTTTGCTTTTAAACTTTTGTGACCTTCAGGTGACACAAGTTGTATTCCTCTAAATTTAAAAGAGCTACTTAGCTATAGCTTACAAAGAGAACATGACAGCTTTATCCGTGTGTTCTGACTGAAAGTTGAGCGTGACACAGAGATGGTGTCTTACTATAAGTTCATCTGACATTTGTACTGTTATTTCTGTACATTCACAACCATGCAGCTATAGGATTTCAGACTGAGAAAGCAAATAATAAAAAATCTAGATATCCAGATCAATATTCACTGTATACATGGACAATTTGTGCTTGCAGAGCTGGATGCATCTGGATGAAGATTACGAGGAACTTACCAGACAGCTGGAGTCTGTTGAAGGTAGCATCCCCACTGTTGGTTTGGTGGAAGAGACGGAGGACAGGCTTACAGACCGGATTACACTTTTTCAGGTTGGTGCTTTTTAGACTTTCTCTGTGGAACAGCTGGATGAAAGAGACCTCTGAAGGTCGTCTAGTCTAGCCTCCCACTTGAAGCAGGACAGTTGCTATGGGCTGGATCAGCCACAGCACTGGAAACCTCAAAAGACAGAGATCCCACAGCTGAGCTGGAGACCAGTTACAGTGCTGTACCACCTCCTACCGAAAAGGCTTTCTGTAATGCCCAATAGAAACCTTCAACTTCCAGCTTGTCACCATTGTCCTTTTTATATTGTGTGGCACTACTGAGAAGCACGTCCCTCTACAATGTGACAAGAACTAGTAGTTTAAGTATAGGTTTTCTCTCACATCCTGTTTTTTCTGTCTCTTCTGAAGATGAGAATTCTGGTCTAGTGTTTTGTATTTGTCTCGTTATACACCAGAGACTTTGTTTGGGGTTTTTTTTGTTTTCTTGTTTTGTTTTGCAGAAAAATGTCTGCCAAATTTTTCTAGCAAATTAGCTTTGTCTACTCTGCGTTTGTTATATATATTGTTCTTTTACTAGACAACTTTCTCCTTTTGCAGTGGTATGAGAAGAACTTAAGCAATCTATTGTGTGGGGGGTTTATTTTGGTTTTTGTTTAATTCTAGGAATTGTTTGTGTTGGTCCTGACCCTAAGTTAGTTTTCCTCTTTTGTTTCTCTTATCAGTTACATAAATTAGGCTATTCAAATCCAGATTCTCGGACTCTGCTGTGGCATAATTTTTAATATCTTTTTTTCTTCTCCCTGTGACCATGTTTAGCTTAAAAATCCATCATAATTAATTTATGGCTATCTTGGAATTTTTTATGCTACTCTCTAGGAGTTATATGTTTATTTGTGTATATATGTTTTATTTAAGTACACACATACATATATATAAATATAAAAGTTTTTAAAGTTGTCAGAGCTCTATTTATGTGAAAGAGAAAATAAGAGTGATAGAAAGCTTATGTACTCACCATGAGACTGGTAGTTTTGTATGCAGTTGGGAATCAAAGTACATTTTGTGCTCAAGCTTAGTCAAATACACAGATGTTTCAAAAATCTGTACTATTTGTGTAATAACAGTGGAATTTGGCAGGTATATTTGCCCACATGTACAAATTGCTTACCCATCCACAAGTCACCATTTAAATGAAATCTGCCTCTGCTCCTAGCTGGATTCAGGGTAAGAGTATTAACAGCCTTTCCTTTTTCAGTGTCTTTTTTGCTTTCTTTTGCCATAACAATTAGCTTCTATGTCAAGGGATTTGGATGTGGAGTGTGTGATCTTCTCTATTGTTGCCATGGGTATCTGGAGGGTAGATCACTAAAAGAAGAGTTAGATGACCAGAAAGCTGAAGACAGGCATTGAAAGGGCTGAAGTGTGGCCACTGCTGACAACTTGATATTGGACACCTTTAACTTTCACTGCAGTAGAGTCTTCAGCAGATGGTAGATCAAGTTCTGACAATTTAATCAATTTCTCTCAGAAATGGTGTTGCCCCATGAAGATTTTTTTGAGGTTGTTCTTTTCAAGCATAAAATATCTGTGCCAAGGAGTTGTTCATCATAAGGAGGTGTCAACAGCCATATTGATGTAAGGGGTTTTGTGACAGCACTTTCAAATTCTGAGCAGATTACCGGCATGATAGTTCTCAGGGAGTTCTAGAGCTGGAGCAGAGGGAAAAATGTGTCATAGTGACATTGGATATGCTACAAAATGCAATAAAATAAAACTAAGTGTTGAGAAAATGTGGTAGCAAAGACCTGCAGAGCTGTCTAACAGTCTCCTCTGTCGTTACAGCATCTGAGATCTAACCTCACTGACTACCAACCTAAATTATACCAAGTGCTAGATGACGGGAAGAGGCTGCTTTTTTCTGTTAGCTGCTCAGATCTCGAAACCCAGCTGAACCAACTAGGAGAGCGCTGGTTAAGTAACACCAGCAGGGTTAACAAGGAACTTCACAGACTGGAGACAATACTGAAGCACTGGACAAGGTAATGCTGATGTAATGAACAGTATAAATTTCTTTACCTCCGCTGTTCAGGTTAAAGTCATTCTGAATCCTGAACTATTAGATTCAACATTTAGAAGAAAGTGCTTTGAGATGTATGTGATAATTTGACTACTCTGTAACATCCTACTTCAGTTCCACACAAGTGCTATCATACTCTCTCATTTGCAGTAAAATGTGTACTAGATAACAGCTGTGGGAGAAAGTCAGAAGATACCTTATTTAGATGACAAAGTTAGAAGCCCCAGGTCCATACAGGTTGATGAGAAAGGGTGTGTGCTTTGCTAGGTAGCATGAGTAGCCTCAGTGTGTTCTGGTAGGGACATTGCCACTGCTGGGTTCTTGTGGGTCTGTGTCATTGTGTATATAGAAGGGAGCTTTTAGCTGCCTTTGCTACTGTTCATATGCTACTTCTGAAATTAATTCTTTAAGAGATGCACAACCTTTGTCTATTATTCATAGTATCTCTGGCTTGTTGGCTGAGTAGCCTTTCAAGAGAGATACATGAAGGGATTGTATGTATAAAGGTTATGTGGAGACACTCTCATTCTCACATCTCATTAGTTGCTTGGTATATGAAATGACATGTAGAGTTTCTGAAAAAAAAAATTAAATTTCGGCTTTGAGATACCTTGTGGCAAAGCTTTTGGAAGATTGGGCCTTCTAATGGAAAGCAAAAATTAGTTAATGTGTGTGAGGTAGGGTGCTGTTGCAGCTTGCCCAAACAAATTGATAACCTAGTTACTAGTCGTTCATTAAACTTAATTTTTCCTAGGGGCAAAAACAAGGTACTGTTAGGAATTGTGGGTGTAATGGCTAAAATAAGATCTTCCTGATACCATACCTGTCTTTAAAATTACATCACAATGTTCTGACATGTAATAAAGGAAAGAAAATATTTTTATTTTAAATCTGGCATACAGTTACTTCCTCTAACACGTGAAGGAGAGACTGCTCAATTGGAGGCAAGGAGTGGCGATGACTTTTATTTTTCATTAAATACTTTACAGATATCAGAGTGAATCAAGTGAACTGACACGTTGGTTACAATACGCAAAGGAGCGACTTGAGTTTTGGAGCCAGCAGTCTTTGACAGTTCCTCAGGAACTGGAAACAGTCCGAGATCACTTGAATTCCTTTTTGGTAAGTCATTCATGGACCTAAGACACCTTTTCTCTCCAATTACAAATAAACATTTGAGGAATCATATGGCTATAGTTTCTATCATTGTTGAAGTAGTGAGTATGCAAAAAAAAAAAAAAAATTGGGTACTGTCCTTCAAAAAACTGGTGTGTTTGCACATTCAGCACTCCTTTGCTGTATGCAGTGATTGTAAAGCTCGATGATTCTGAAAACAGAAAATGGTTTTATGACTGAAAACAATTTTTGTTCTCACTTGGTCTGAAGTATAGCTGGTAAACACTGGTAGAAAGTACGTGAGCAACTGACAGCACATACCTGGACTTGAGCAAAGCATTTGACACTGTCCCTCATGACATCTTTGTCTCTAAGTTGGAGAGGCATGTATTTGATGGATGGACCACTTGGTGGATAAGGAATTGGCTGGATAGTCACACTCAAAGAGTTGTGGTCAACAACTCAATGTCCAAGTGGAGACCAGTGATGAGTGGTTTTCCTCAGGAGTCTCTGTGTTGGGACCAGTGCTGTTTAACATCTTTGTCAGCAACATGGACAGTAGGACTGAGTGCACCTTCAGCAAGTTTGCTGACAACACTGAGCTGTGTGGTGTAGTTGACACGCTGTGGAGGGAAGGAATGCCCAGACTTGAGTAGTGGGCTTGTGCAAACCTCATGAAGTTCAATAAGTCCAAGTGCAAGGTCTTGCACATGGGTCAGGGCAATCCCAAGCACTAATACAGGCTGGACAGAGAATGGATTGAGAGCAGCACTGAGGAGAAGGACTTGTGGGTGCTGGTTGATGAGAAGCTCAACATGACCCAGCAGTGTGTACTCTCAGCCCAGAAGGCCAACTGTATCCTGGGCTGTATTAACAGAAGCACAGCCAGCAGGTCCAGTGAGGTGATTCTGCCCCTCTACTCTGCTCTGGTGAGACCGCACCTGGAGTCCTGCATCCAGCTCGAGCCCTCAGCAAAGGAAGGACATAGACCTGTTGAAGCAGGTCCAGAGGAGGGCCAAAAAATGATCTGTTAGGCAGGAACACCTCTCCTACAAGGAAAGGCTGAGACAGTTGGGGCTGCTGAGCCTGGAGAAGAGAAGGCTGCAGGGAGACCTAAGAGCAGCCTTCCAGTACCTCAAGGGGGCCTACAAGAAAGCTGGAGAGGGACTTCTTACAAGGGCATGTAGTGATAGGACAAGAGGTTATCACAGAATGTTAGGGTTTGGAAGGGACCTCTGTGGGTCATCTAGTCCAACCCCCCTGCCGAAGCAGGGTCACCTACAGCAGGCTGCACAGGACCTTATCCAG